AGAGAGAGAGAGAGAGAGAGAGAGAGAGAGAGAGAGAGAGAGAGAGAGAGAGAAGGGGGGAGGGAAACATGGTCCAGTTAAGAGGTGATATCACGATATAACGACTCCGAAAGCACCACCCTGGAATTTTCAAGTCAGACCCTGCTGGGGTACTCCCATTTACAAATGCAGTCATTATTGATTCTTTTTCCTCTGCTTAACAATCTGTCTGCATTTGGCATGTGGTCACCTCATAGGATCGGCAACAAACCCCTCCCGACTTGCCCACCGTCGTAGGTCGAGGACGAGGTCCATCTTTCAACAGATGGAAAGCAAATTCGAAAACGGGTTGAAAACCAGAAAGCACCGTCCTTCGCGACATCCGTTAAAATTGGAGCGAGGCAGAGAAGATTAGCACCGCAAGACATAAATCAAGGAAGCAATGAAGTTCCCTAGAGAACCCAGTGAGGGAGGAATACAGTAATAATAAAGCAAAGGTGGCTTGGCAAGCGATCTAAGACACCTCCTGACCAAGGCCACAAAAAAAAGTGAAACAAAAAAGCAACCTCCCAACCAGGTCCACACCCTTCAACCTCGGGAACTATGTCCAGGTAGTCTGTGAAGGATCCCTGCCACATACACTGGCAAGTGCCTACTCAGTCAGGCGGTGGCCGTGACGGGCAATGACCGTTACGATATGCCAGACCTATAGTCATGAGGATTGCTTTGATAAAACCAGTTTAGTAGCCTAACAAGGGTCATTCATGCCTAATCCCCCGACCCTCCCCTCTGACATGTCCACATAATGCAAACCCCTGGCAATTTGAAAATAACCCCTTATTTGTCACCTCTTTTTTAACCTTCTTGAATCCATATAGCCAAACTCACAACACACACTCAACCCTTTCCATGCCAATTTGATATTGCCCCTTGTTTGTCGCCTCTTTTTCGACCCTCCTAAATCCATCCCCATTTCAGAAAGAAACGCCCACAGGAAGAGAAATGAAAGAAAGGTAGAATATCGAAGAGTTCAAACTCAGTTTTCTCAGTTCGCACGACCGCCTCAAGACTCAAACCCTATATTCAAGAGTCCAAAAGTATGATTCAAGCTTATTCGTTGAATATTACCAAGTACTTATATTATTACTAATTTATTTCGATAAATCCAAATATCAAAACATTCATTTATTTCACGCTTTTATTGTATTTTTATTGCTTGATTTTAGCTTATTCGTTGAATATTACTAAGTACTTATTTATTACTAATTTATTTTGATAAATCCAAACATCAGAATAGTCCTTTATTTCACGCTTTTATTGTATTTTTATTGTTTGATTTTTATTATATTAGTATGAATTAGTAATAGTGTTAAAACAATATATTGTACATATATTATGTTATGTAAAGTTCCCAAGACCTCCTGCAACCCTACACGTGCGTTCAACCAGCAGGTCGCATCACTTTACTCATTGAGCGGAAACACCGGAAAGTGGTCCATCGCCCGGCAGCTTTAGGTGGCCTTTGTTGATATGTGTGTGCCAAGTTTGGTGTTTGCTGGGGTCTTGGGGATGACTGTTTTGGCCAGCCCTGAAAATCCTGAAAATCCTGAAAACTGAAAAGAGCAAATTTTCAGTTTTGCATGAAAACACACTTTTGCCTTAGGTTTTTTTTTTTTTTTTTTTGCGATTGGTTTATTTTGTGTCCACTATGGACTGGTGTTTGGTGTCCACTCTATGGATTGATGACAAGTCTGGGCTTAAAAAGGTGTGGGGCGGTTGTTATAATGACCCTGAAAAAACCCTCAAAATTTAGGGCTCTGTTAACCTGCTTATCCTCCACACGAGCACAGAAAATATGAAAAGACAACATCATATACATGGACTAGAGGGCTGGGGATATCACATCTGGACTCTTAACACTTCCCTTCTCCTGGAATAATTGAGATCATAATAATATTATAATATACAAATTCACCTCACCAACCCCCTCAGTTTACGTGCTCAACTTCTACCCCCATTTGTTGTGCTGCAAACAACCAACAAGGCTGGGAATGAATGGCACATCAGAAAAGAAAAAGACAACTAACCTGTGATGGAGCCATCTGTGAAGTCCACCTCGCGGGTGTGTGGATCAAACACGACATTCTCAAGCACTGCAGAGCCCACAGACAAGACAAACACGCCGCAACCACATTCATTAATCACCCAAGGACAAGACATCAAACAAGCCGCAACCACGTGCATTAATCACCCACTTCATTCACCTGGCAAAGAAAGAGTCCGTATTGATTGATTGCTGCTCAGTCTGTTCGAATCCATCTCAAAGACCAACTTGCAGTCACCGACAAAAACAGTAAATCAGACAACCCTATCCGGTGGCACTGGTCCACAATACATTTCTGCAGGCATGTATGCGGGCCCAACTCCGACAAACATGCCTGTTCGATAAGTACATTACCAACGCTGCTGCTGCTGCTGCTGCTTCTTACAGGGCCGAAACCTGATATACTTACCATCTTTCACCTGAACTCGAATAGAATAACTGTATTTGGCGCAGCCCAGAAGCAACGATAATGACCGGGCGTTCTATTCGGGTGAAGACGGTAGTGGACCCCCCTCCTAAAGCTTCGAAGCAGAGAAATTCACTACAAACATCTTTCCCCAAAACTCTCGGTTCACACGAGTCTATAACCTACTCGTTCACACGAGTCCGAACTCTTGGTTTACAGCAACTTCACACACACGACCTGTATACTACGCCAGGGGTAAAACTTGCTCTACAGCTCTAGGGCAAAAAAAGAGAATGGGCCCTGCAAATAGTCACAACTGACAAACTGTACCCTCCTTTCTTCGTGTGGGTCCTTTGTATGCACTGTACTCTGCTGCTTTCCTCTCTGACCTGCGCCATTCGCCTGCAAATAGGTGCAAGATCACAGCTCAGAACGAAGCTCCAAGCTTTCCATGCCCTTCAAAAAACAACCACGCTGCCTTCTTGCAGCACCAGACGCAGCACCAGAGACAGCGCCGGACGCAGCACCAGACAAGCTCCTCAATCACCCCGTCATGAAGAGGCAGAGCCAAATATGATCCCTCCACGCAATTGACTGTGGATATCCACGTTTCTGCTCATGAGGCCTGCACATTCATTCTCAGGGATTCCATTTGTAATCTGCTTGCCAACAAGGGACCCGATTATCCCTCCATGACTTCATGTCACACAACCCCGCTCTCCAGGTGGACGATGAGGGTCACAAGCACCGTTCCCCAAAAAAACAAGCAAGCATAAGCTTCTGACATACATATCATACCCAAGGAGCAAGGGCTACCAGTAATCCTTCTGCTACTCCTGGCCCCACCTTTGCTGGGGCATTCTGCCCGTAGCCCTTGCTCCTTTGGTACCAGACTATGTCCTCGTCATCCGCTGAATGCGTGCCGTCCCTTCACCAGAAGGGCCTGATTCATCACCGGATTCCAGTTCGTAGAAACACACTGGTAAAGGGCTCTGCACAAGCCTTCCTGTGCAGTTTGGAAACTTTGGTTATTAATTCTGACACACTTGTATGGTGCTCTCTGACCATATTTTCTCCAATACAGGATCAGGACGCTGTTGCTCTCATGAATGTAACACCATGACACGGACAAAAAAAGAGACGGAGCAGCATGGCTGCCCACTCGCAAAGTAGCATTTCCAATTAGCATAGAAGTTCGGAGCCAAGAAGCTCTAGAAGAAACCAAGCAAGGAATTAAAAGATGCAACCATGCCGATAAAGAGGTATTAAAGAGCTATTTTTATTTTTTAAGACATTGAATTATTCCGCACAAGCTTGTGAAAATAGGAAACCAGAGCGACCAGAAATGCGAAACAGGGCTCCAGGAGAAGGCATATTTCACTGCCTCCAAGGATATTTTGTCAAGCCTCTTAGTGGAGGCCCATACTACCATAGGATCAGAAAAAAAAAAACAAAAAATAATAACAAAAACGAAAAAACAACCAACAACAAAGTATAGAAACTTTAGAAAATTAAGAACACAAGAAACCCAAAGAAACCTAGGCAGGGCTGTCGCCCGGCCAGGCATGCCTGGGCGAGCTGGGCCGAGGGGTATCGCCCGGCAAAACCAGGCGTGTCAAAAAAGAGGGAAGGATCTCCTAAAAAAAGAAACTGACTTCAGGCCAGGACTGCGCTCGGCCTGAGCAGTCAGAATCCGTCCTTCGCTTCCATCTCGGTGGTGGGTCACCCAGGAGTGTTTGGGGGGTATAAAGGTACTCTAAACAGTGACTAGAGGGGTGTAAAAGGGTATATCAGTACTATATCTTACCTCATTTCTCCTCATTTATTTTTATCTTAAAATTAATAAGGAATTTCGAGGGGACCCTCAGCCAAAAGTTGCTTCTACTGCAACTTTTTACAACATTTTTTTTTTTTCCAGATATTTTTGATTTTTTTGAATTTTCTATTTTGTTAATATTATGCGCTGGGGCTGCTCGGGACCCTGCCCGGCCACTGCCCCGCCCAGGCCGCCCGGGAGGGTACCCAGGCGACCTTCTCCCAGCCGGGCCACCTGGGGACCAGCCTAGAAAGAAACCAAAAAAAAAGAAGTTTCTCCCGACTTTCTTCCTTACCTCTCCGCTTGAATACAGTGCTCTTGCAGGAGACTACTGAACGTTACAAAATTAGGCAGGTGTGCCACTTTGGGGAAGACTGGGTCCGGTTTCGATGGTTGTCCATTTCATGGGCGACGAGTCGACCATTTCATGTCAAAAAAATGGGCGGTGCCTGCCTCCGCCTATTCTTCTTGCTGCCCATTTCATCGGCAACAATCATGTCATGTCCAAATCGGTGCTGCCTGCCCCCAACCGTAGTGATAGGGATACGGTGGTCCACAGTCAGCACGCCACGCCAGTATTTTCCAAGGAGGCAACCAGCTAATGATCCAGTCCAGAGCCTCCATGTATAACAGCAGAGGTTTCGATCCCCCTCTCAGGCAGTGCCAGTCAAAGGGTCACAAGGTCGCTAAGCACCCTGTACCACCAGAGCCACTCTTGTCGGCTCCCTAGAAAGAACACTTTCCAGCATTGTACTCGTATCCAGCATCGTAACTCGTTGTCCACACTTCAGGTACTCTGACGGAGTCTGACTCCATTCAAGGCAGCCTACAGCTGACCTCCCATAACGCTCCCCAGGGGAAAAATAATGCTCCCCAGGGGCACGCACACATCAGAATCCTGCCCAAAGATGCTATAACCGAGACCTAACTTTGGAAGGGTCTGTAGCAGCACTGATGAATTCCTGCATTAAATGTCACCGTCCCTACTAAGGCGCTATGAATGATGACGTATCGGTTGGTCATCATTGAATCTGGCCCATGCCCTGCAACCAAGTAGACCTAAATAAAAGGCATTACTTGCAACCCAGCAACTGAGCCTGTACTCGCAATAGACCATTACTTCAAACTTCACGCAACTCTCGAGCAGTGGGCCCGTCACATGAGCTCCATCTCCCTGAGGACCACTTTCTCCCGCCACCCACAAAAGTCAACAACCGTCTTTTCAGGCTCCTTCTTAAGGGCGCCGTTACTCAGGCTTGGTTCTTACTGCTCCTTTTCTCTTCCGAATCTACAGCAACGCGAGGTTTGACTGTATAAGCCGCTCGTCCGTGGTCAGTGTTCATTTTATATAACCCTCTACTTGGATTGCCAGGGGACAAGGAACTGGAATGCTGCTCTCCCAAACGGAAAGGAGTCCTAACCATATCATAAGTCGACGCACAGCATCACCTAGCATTCTGCAGACACCTTCGATGATGCACACAACCCCTTTCTCCATTTTTCAATTTTTTTCCCCCCAAGCCCCTTTCTCCCTCCATGTCAGGATTACCAAAAAGAAAAGAAGGGGGAAAAAAAAAGGCTTTAATATATTGTTGGGGAGCCGTACCTGCTGGAAATCAGGTCCAGACTCCAGCGTCCAATAAAAACAAAACTTTTGAATGCATTCACTTAACTTACGAACAAGAGATGTGAAACCACCATCATGCAGCTTCGGGTATCATTCTGTGGGACAAAAACAACCCCCAAGTGCGCTAAAACACCAACAACACTGACACCAGCACCTTGTTAGTTTCGGTTTGAGTGCTGGTCTGCCATGCCGTACGTCATGGGTTCAAACTTCGAATCCCATTTTTGCCAGGAGGTATGGTTGAGCTAAATCAGCTCACAACTTCACAAGTTGATTCAAACGTAATTTTATCATGAGTTTTTTTGTGTACTCTGGCAGGGTAGTTATGGGCTTAGCTCAGTTGGTACACCCATAAACTGTTGGTATGCAGACGTGCGTTCAAATCGAGATGGAACCACGTGAATGAAATTCCTGAATTCCCTAGGGCCGTTCAGTTGCACGATGATATCTCAAGGCTGTCGCCCTTTGAAAATACAAAAAAGTGGAAAGAGAGACTGTGATGATCATGATGACAATAGACTGATGATGAGGAGGACCGTGATGGCCACGACGACGATGACAGCGACAATGACAACAATGATGATGATGACAATCTGGGCAAATCGATGATACCTTGTTGGTCAATTACACATGTCTTGTCCATGAATCAACACCACCTCGCCATTGTTCGCCTGGCTAAAAACATCATGTTCAAACTTCCAAATACTAAAATAGCCCTCCTATTCACGGTTTAGGACCCATTTAGCTAATGTCTGGACAGCTCAGTATGCAAGAATAATACTGCAGCGTCTCCTTCGCTATCGCGCCTGAGAGATCAAACAGTGCAAAGGAGCAATTCATTTGGTAGTGTCGCGGTCGCCCATAAAATTAAGAAAGCCATCATTAAGGTGAATAAAGCAATAGCTTCAGTTAAAGCAAAACCTACAATGGGTAGGGGTCAGAGGTGAGTCTCTGCCCTCCAAACCGTACGTGACAGTTTCCCGAAAGGAAAAAGTGCAAACTAGTTCCAATCAATTGCATGTTGTAGAAGAGTTGTCAAACAGCTAACAATGGGCCTTGCTCCAGCGGCTCCACTGCTCACCAAATGTGCAAAACGAGACCATCTGCTAGAACATGGAAATATACACCACCATATTTTTTGTCGTTTGCCATTGAACTTTTCAAGTGAGGCCCTCTAAAACCTACCGTCTTCACCCCGTCATTAGAGCTCCACCTGGACTGAAAGTTGCCCTGAATACAGCTATAATGACCGGGCGTTCTATTCAGGTGACGACGGGAGTCTGGGACCTGGAGACACAAAACACCGACTGAAAGGTCAAGAACATGGTGGTCCTGTGCTTTCTCAGTAAATGTTTACCTGCGCCAAAGCGGATAGCGTTATAGATGTCAGGCTCTCCTTCTTTCGACAGGTCGATGCACTTCGCATAACACCCTCCCTCAATGTTGAAAATCCCGTTATCAGACCAGCAGTGCTCGTCATCACCAATCAAAAGCCGATTGGGGTCCGTAGACAGAGTTGTCTTTCCCGTACCTGAAAGCCGCAAAAAAAAAACAACCGGAGTTTTTGGAATTAAAAACTTTAAAATTAACAAAATCTCTCTTAGTAATCAAAGAGCTGAAATTTGTAATGGAAGGGCCTCCTCTCGAATCACCTAGTGCATACAACTCAAAGACTTTAAAGTTTAAATGCAAAAACAAACATCGTAGTACCGTGCACACATCAGACACAAGGAACCACATAAGGGAAAGCCAGCCAGCATACCTGAGAGACCAAAAAAGAGGGACACATCACCATCTGCTGACATATTACAGCCACTGTGAAGTGAAAGCACACCCCTTTTCGGCATCATGTAGTTCATTAGCGAGAACAACCCCTTCTTCATCTCGCCTGCATATTGCGTTCCCAGAATTACCATTTCCATCCTGCAAAACAACAACAAATGACCGCAATTCAAATCAACCTTCAAGCACAAAAAACTCAGGGATAATAATATCCCACCATATCGGCGGTCAGAATTCTCCCCCAATAGCCAAATTGTCCCATCAGGCTCTCACGTCGATGATGTTCCTCTCAAACATTTCAAATATTATCAGGTGCAAATCCCACCCATGGTTCCTATGAAGACTTGAGAGGACGCTGACTGCAGGCGCTACATCAGCATGTTTTAACATGCCTATTACATTTCCAGGCATGCGGATCAAATCAGGTGCCCCCCTGCCCTTTACCCGCCACCTCATCAACGATGTAATTACCAATCACTGGATCTGTATCACCCAGTAGCCACTTTTCGATTGCTCGGGGGGGGGAGGCAGGGGGGTGCAGGCAGCGAAGAAAAAGATTGCTCTTGGGTATGCAGCGCGGTAGAGCACAGTACCTACGCATGCACTACACAGATCCATGCTGACATTCTCTCCAACAAATGAAAAAACAAAACACACACACACACACACAGAGTAGCCACTTTTAGATTGCTCGGGGGGGGGGGGGTAAGCGGGTGGCAAAGAAAAAGATTGCTCTTGGGTATGCAGCGCGGTAGAACACAGTACCTACACATGCACCACCCAGCTCCATGCTGACATTCTCTCCAACAAATGAAAACACACA